TTCATGCGAGGTGCACAACATATGGTAAATTGTGCAACATTATCATTAACGGAGGAAGTTGCAAGAACGTGATCGCATCAACTATGATTGATAAGTTGAGTTTGCAGACACAGGAACACCCGAGGCTATATAAACTTTTATGGTTTAAGAAGGGCAACGAAGTACGAGTCAACTATAGGTGCCTTAGAAAATTTTCAATCGAAAAGAGTTACGAAGACGAGGTTTGGTGTGACTATTAGAGTAGGTGCCTTAGAGCCAATCAATTATTGTAGAATTGACTCTTTGTAATCATGTTTTATTATCAATGAAGGCATTTATCTATATCATGTTATCTAATAATATTCGAATAGGAAAATGATATATGTCCTTTGGATGGTAAAACTGTGACGAGGATATCAAGTGTTTGAAATCTCGATAGTGAGAACCCTATGAGCACATATGGTAGCCATTCTAGATATGTCCATAGCCCCAGTATTATCCTGACCAAGGACACAAATAATACAATAAGGCTATCACAGTGTTGAACGACCCTGTCGTAAGGCAGTGACTGATCTCACTTGACAATGTTGTTTGTCGACAACCTAGTGCAACACATGGGTATTTGCCATAAGTGAGTTCACCAGACGGACCCACCAGAGGATTCCACATAGATGGTAACCTCTGTGTCTGTGGAATAAATTCTCTAACGAATGGTCGTGCATGTGATACTTAGACTTGAGATCACCAGAGCGCCTTATGCACCAATTGGTGTGGTTTGACACTAGCCCAACGTAGTTCTACTCAGAATTATCAGAACGATAGTGATTGGCTATATCTAGAAGTGTATCGAGACTATGGTGGATCGACAGCAGATTCATCACTCCCGAGTATAGGAGAAATTATCTCACTGAGTAATTTGGTAGATTGCAACAACATTAAATTTGTGGTCATGGTGGGATTGAGTTGTAGCTCAATGCAATCTATTATGGTTGTTTGTCCAATAACTGAATACTAAGATATCAAGGATATCCGAGGTTGACACTACTTATGTGCCTCGACCTTGATGAGATAATAGATGATGAAATGATTGAATTACACGGTAACCATGTCGTTGATAGGTAGTGGTTTCACTGAATCCGAATCTATCGGGTGACCATGTCGCTTGGCTTGAGGCCAATCTTGGTCTGTGTCTAATGGGACGATTGATTGATTGATTGTCAATGGCGATACGAGTCACTACCGATATGACGAGGAGCCTTGAGGTTGCACACATAGAAGACAGATTAAGAATAAAATTAGTGAGAAGGGCATTTTCATCATTTATGATGAAAGGGTATTTTCATCTTTTAAGATTAAAGGGCATTTGGTAATCTCACAGTGTAATTAAATTTGCTAAGGTCGTTGCCTATATTTAATTTCATATGGAAATTAAATTAGTAAGATCGTATAGTTAAATATTTGGTTTAAATATATATATATATATATATATATATATAATACATATTATTTAATATTAATATTTGTTAACATTAATTTGATAATATGGAATTCAAATTTGATTTTAAATTTTCAATTGAAATCTTTGTTTGGCATTTGGAATATTGCTCGTCTAAATATGGAATAAGTAGATTCCTATTCCATATTAGATTAGGTTTTTAGTGTGCACTATTTAAGTGCAACTAAAAATTAAATGAGATATTGTTTTAAAATAAAAGAAAACCTAGCCACCTTCTCTCTCCCAAAAACACCAACTCCATTGTTGGGTGAGCAGAATTTTTGCTTCAAAAATTCTGCTAAATTTTGTTCTTAAAGTTGAGGATTTTTCTAGCCAATAAAATCCCTCAACAGCATTCGTCCTATCTTCGTGTGGATAACGTTAGTGCACTCCTACCTTGGAATGGTAGCGATTCCAATCTCATCGAAGGAGCCTCCAAACGTAGGTATAAGTTCGGAAACGTTTATGTTTATTGTCGATTTATATTAATGATGTAAATTAAATATAAGGTTTCTTGGGTTTTATGTTGTTGTTTGGGGATTTTGATTTTGTTTTTCGCTACGTAAACCCCACCAGCAACTTACAGTGGTATCAAAACTTTCCTTATACCCTTTACGTTGTTATTCGACGTTTGGTTGAATTGATTTCAATATGTATTGATTGTGGTTTTTACATGTTGCGTGAAATTGAATTTTTTGTTGCAAAAATATGTTGTGGTTGATGTGTTACAAATCTGATTTTGTGCATCTGTTTTTGGTGGATCAAAATCACCAAATGTTTGAAGGGTGGAAAATTTTAGTGGACCAGAGAGGATAAAAAAGCTTTTGTGATGTTAAAGAAAAAGGTGACAGAGGCACCAGTGCTCGTATTACTGGACTTCAAGGAAGTATTCGAAGTACATTGTGACGCTTTAGAAGTGGGAATAGGGAGAGTACTGAGTCAGAAGACCCAACTAATAGCATTTGTTAGCGAGAAGTTGAATGATGAAAGGAGAAGGTACTTGACCTATGATAAAGAGTTCTACGCAATTGTGAGAAGCTTAGAACATTGGAAGCACTACTTTTACGCCAAAGAGTTCGTGCTACATTATGATCATGAATCGTTGAAGAATATTAACAGGCAGCACAAGCTCAATTCAAGGCGTGCGAAATGGGTAGAATTTATACAGGCTTTCACATTTGCTATCAAACATCAATCCGGAATACTGAACAAAGTTGCAGATGCTTTAAGTCAAAGACATACTTTGCTTGCAAATATGGAAGTTCGGGTGACAGGGTTTGAAGTGTTTCAAGGGCTATATCATAATGATCCTTATTTTGGTGAGATTTGGGAGAAATGTCAAGAGCGACTTTATTAACAGTTCTTGATTCAAGAGGGTTATCTCTTTAAGGGAAACAAGCTTTGCATTCATGATTGTTCGTTGAGGGGAGCAATCATCGAGGAGACTCATAGGGGAGGTCTAGTTGGTCACTTTAGGAAAGACAAGACGATGACTCTAATCAGCGAACACTTCTTTTGGCCTCGCATGGAAAGAGATGTGATGAGATATGTTGAGCAATATTGGACATGCCATTAGCGAAGACTCAGAGCACCAATAGCAGGCTATACACGCCTTTACCAATTCCTAGGGAAGATCTAAGTTCAGATTTAGTATTGGAATTGCTGAAGACGGAGAGGAACAAAGACTCGATCATGGTGGTGGTAGATCATTTTTCCAAGATGGCACATTTCATTCCGTGTAACAAGACCTTTGATGCATCAAAGATCATGAGGTTATTCCTGCAAAAGGTCGTTCGTTTGCATGGAGTTCCAAGATCGCTTACTTCAGATCATGATGTGGAGTTTGTGAGTCATTTCTGGAGGACAATGTGGCGAAAGATGGGGACGAAGTTACATTTTAGTTCATCTCATCATCCCCTGACAGATGGACAAATAGAGGTTGTTAATCAGGGTTTGGGCAATCTATTGAGAAGTTTAGTTGGTAACAGTTCGCAACATTGGGATTTGCTATTGCCGCAAGCTTAGTTCGCATACAATAGATCGCCCAACTGAACCACGAAGAGGAGTCCATTTGAGGTCGTCAATGGGAGGAATCCATCTACACCCCTTGACATAGCGCCATTACCGATTCTACATCACTATGGTTCGGATGGAGAAGAGCAGGCCGAGATGGTCAAGGATCTGCATGCCCAAGTCAAGCAACAGATCGCAAAGCAAAATGAGGTCTATAAGCATAAGGCAGACCGTCATCGCAAGAAAGTGGTGTTTCAACCTAGGGACTTGGTTTGGATTCATTTGAGGAAGGAAAGATTTCCGACGAGGAGATTTGGTAAGCTACATCCATGAGCTGACGGACCCTTCAGAGTGCTTGAAAAGATCAATGTTAATGCTTACAAGATCGAGCTGTCAGGTAACCATGGAGTCTCAGGTACCTTCAATGTGTCCGATTTATCACCATACCTGGAAGACAATGTCGAAGAGCGAACAAAAGAGGACGATGACGTTGATTCAAGGTCGAATCTTTTTCAAGCAAGGGATAATGACATAGGAGCATCGTGAAAGGTCATTATAGCAATCAAGGATCTAACACAGGAACGACCTGAGGGTTAAGCGGTCTGACTAAAAAGCGACTTGCGAGTTATAAAGAGCTTAATGAGGTCGACTAGCAAATTGAATAGCTAAGAGAAAATACGTGTAAATGTTTTGTCTTGCTTTATTCTAGAATAGTACACGTGTACGTAGGGACACTTGTCATAAAAGTTGATAAGATTTAGGGCAAGTGTCAGATTTCTATTAGGGCTTTGTGTGCCTATATAAGGGCACTTTTCACATTGTAAACGCAGCTTTTGAATAAATATACAGAGAATATTTTCATAAACCTTTGTGGTCTCTAAAGGTAGAATCCTTTGTGGGTTCGCTGTCCTTTGTGTGCATTCATCAAGCCGTAAATTCTTAGTAGGCTTACGCCATCCTTAGTGGGCGTCTATCCTATGGTTTGTCAAGTCGCCGTCTTAGCTTCATTGAACACGTCGCCCTATGCAAGAACGAGTTAACCCATGGTTCCTTACATCATTTACACGTTGAAATTTTGTATGATTTTGGAGCCCGAGGTAGAGTTCGATGGAAGAGTAAGGCAACAAAATGTAACATTAGTTATATTAGTTTTTCTATTGAATTTCACATTCTAATCTTTCTTAAGGATTTTCATAGAGCCTAGAGAACCCTTCTTTTTTATGATTTCTTCAAAAAAACTTATAACAATGAGAAACTTTGATTGAATATACTAGAGACATAAAATTCATCCTGCGTACATACAACAGATTATTAGTTTCTTACGAAAGAAAATATATATTTTCAAAGCAATCAAGTTTATTGACTGACCTAGAGGAAGTCTAGAATTATGGGATTCATTTATCAATCATATTTTGTTTTCACATCATCAAAATGTATCTATATCATAAATTATATAGATATTTGCGATAGAGAAGAGAGAAATAATAGGAAAAATATTATATCACTAAATGAAACAAACAAATTGGGTGGAGGCACATATAAAATGTGTAACCACTTTATTACAACATTGTAACAATAAACTAGGCAAGCGTTATTCAAATTATAGAAGCTAATTCAGTGCATTTGACACATTTCTCTAATCATCCATCTAGAATTTCGCCTGGAGATCTTTCACTACTTTTACGTCCAACTGGAAAGCCTTGGCAAGAAAATCTGGATTAATTGGAGGGTTTGACCCAAACACAGCATCGGCAATAGTAATGACACCGGGGTTCTGGCTGCTCAAACCAGCAAAGGCAAGAGCATTTGTTTTTCCGATATTGAATTGAAAGTGAACGAGACCAATGGGGAAGACGAACACGTCACCCTTGTTAAGAACTTTGCTAATAAGTGTGTTATTAGGATTGGAAGTGACGAAACCAACAAGAAGAGTACCCTCCAGAACTACAAGAATCTCAGTGGCACGAGGGTGAGTGTGAGGTGGGTTTTGGCCATAAGGAGCAAAGTCAATACGGGCAGCTGAAATGCCAAGAGTGTTATGTCCTGGAATTTGATCGACATTCACAGCGCTAACATTTGAACCAACTGGATTGTTTGTGTCTCCAGGCATCTTAACTGAAAAGTAGAAGTCCCCAGCTTTGGCGAGCTTGGGGTCCTTGCAGAAGTTCCCATTCACAAACACTGCATCAAACAATCAAATCAGTAAGAATTAGCCTATAGTTACATATTGGACATGAGTTGGATTGTTTGTATAAATATACAGAAAGAGAATTGAGTAAATATATACCAGCGTTCTTTGGTTCATCTATGGCTACACAGAAGTCCTGAAGAGGACTGGGATCAAATGCGGAGGCCAATGAGGAAGCCAAGGCCAAGAGGACAAAAGCCAGAAGGAAACTTTTCGTTGTGATTAGGCTAGTTAGCTACGAACTCAATTCTTCAACGATAAATATTGCTTGGTGAGTGGTGAGAAATGCTGCAAGGCCAGCTATTGTATTTATATGCGAAATCAATTGAACTGGTCATCATTGTTTCCCCTGCTCCAAAGCAGATGAGGAAGACTTCCAAATTAGATTCATTCTTTATTAACACAAAACACAATTTCAAATGTTGCTTGAGTAAAATTGTTCCTCACAGCTTGAATCACTCCCAGTTTGATAAAAGGACATGGTCCTCTATCTTCGATAACATAATCTAGAAGAATGAACGAAGTCCACACTGATATTTGTTGATGAAAATTCTGACACAACACTGAACAAAAAACAGTTACATCATAAATTAATGTCTCCTATATATTACATAGTATGTTATTTCATAAATTTCAAGCTATATTTAGCCTCACATATTCTCTATTGAATACCATACTTTCTATTGGAAGGTTATTCAGCTGCCATGTGCTTCACTTTAAAAATTATTATTTACTCCATGCCAACTTAGTAGCATTTGCTAAGCCATGATTTTTACTGGGAGAGAGAGAATCACAAAATATATAATTAACTTCTAAATACAAAATAAATGTCTATTTAAATTTTATTTATTTTATAATCCCTGAAGATCTTATAAAACGATTCTAGAGGTTAGAATATTCGCAAGAACTGTTGATCCAATATTGATAACAATGCACTGCCCTTTCGACTTTAATAAATAAACAAAATCGAACCATGAAGAAGCTAAAACTGGGTGACACATTCTATAATTATACTAATATAATAATAGTTCTAGATATAGCCATATAGGCAGAATTGCCATCAGGTCACACCTAATCTGGTCTACATTGACTCTTAGGTTTTCTTTTCAGAGACAAGAGTCTTTTTATGTATTTCATTGTTCAATTACAATTTGAAAATGTCAAAACATGAAAATTATATTTTTCTGATTAGTTCAACAATTGGAGAGACTTAATTTAAAGGCTATTAAACATTTTTACTTTGTCTTAGAGATATAATCGCACAATATTTGAACATATTGAAATTCATAAGGTCGGTTAGTTATACAAGATAGATGTTTTGCAGGTATAATTGGGAAAAAAAAATATAGAGAAATCATTTTGGTCTATGCGAGCAGTTGGAAACAGGAAAACTTATTATTAATTGCAAATGTGAAAGAGTTGGATTAGGTTCTTACTTGTACATCCAGATTTTTTCGTTATGGAATAAATACACAAATGAAATTGAAACTTTATTGGCTCGGTAAAAATAATCAACCCTTTCGACTTTGGTAATATTAGAAGACTATCAGACAATATGCTATTACTTAACAAGACATCATGCATTGAAGTCTTATTATTTTTTGAAAATGAATAAATGCATGCATTAATCAAACTACTTTGTAGACAAAATTCTGAACTTCCGATTCGCTATCAAAATGTATTTGAACTAAAATATATTATTTTTAGTTATATATGATTCAAACACAATTAATCTTATCAAAAGCATAACAAAAAAAAAGAAAAATTTATTGATTTTTAATTTTTTGTGTAGTTTGTAAGAATTGTTTCCAAAATTGTTTATGAAAACTCATGACTGTAATTTTTAAATTCATTACTTTTTTTTTTTTCCTCGATGAGAAAGAAACTAACATATTTGCATTACAGACCAAACAAGTCTTTAAATTACAATGAGATTGAAATGAAAAAAAAAAATGCCGCATGACCTAAGTAATTAGAATTTTAAATAGTAGTTGTAGACGGCAAAATCTATGGTTGACTCGAATGAGAATCATCCTATGAAGACGAGGCCACTAACAATCGCGTAGACCTACAAGGACAAAGAAAGTGAACATGAAGGCTCGGGGGACACTAGTGTGGTGTCTGCCTTAGGCACTCCGACGCTTAAGTCAGCACGGTTGAAAGGAATATATAATTAAGGCTGAGAGCGAGAAAGGGTTTATTGGGAGTATTTTCTAGGCAAGACTATCGGCATAAAGTGGCCGGAGCACGGCCTTACGTCAACTACGGGATGTATAGTTGGTCGAAACTAAACTTTTACGGCGGGGAAAGATGACTATTCTTGAGAGTAAGAATTTAGGAGCTAAAGAAATGGGTTGTCTGTGAATTAATAATGAGAGGGTTGGCCTCTGTTTTTATAGTGAGTCAGAGAAGCTTGAGTCTTTGTAGAACTAGGCGTTCTCATAATAGGAGTTTGAGTTAATAGGAAACTTGTAGTGCTAATCCATGTAGACATGGAAATACTAGTTAATTGAAGATTAGATCTTGGATGAACTAGGAAGTAAGCAGAACTCTAAGTCCTATTTTGGAATGAATATGGGCTAATGGGCTAGAGCCTGATTTGTCTTAACTTATAGAAAGACTCAACTCTTGGAGAGGCCCAAAGTATAAGGAGTGTTTGTCTAAGCTTATAAGCTGGTCAAACTAGCTTATAAGTTCTAAAATTAAGCTCACATGTTTGTTTATAACTTTTTTAAGCTTATAAATTGAGCTTATAAGCCAAAAAAATAAGTTGGAGGGGAGGTACTTTTTTTTTGTTTTGCTTATAAGTTAGTTTAACCAAGTATATTACCGCATTATCTTTGTTTAATTTTAAAATTTCATAGTATACACTTGTTTAATGTAGTACCCTTTTTAGTCATTTTATAATAAAATGTACTTATAAGCCACATTTTACCAAACACGTCAACTACTTATCAGTCACTTATAAGTACTTTAACCAAACATATAATTATTTAAAATTTCAAATGCTTATAATTTAAAATTAGCTTATAAGCACTTGTTGCTTATAAACTAATTTTCATAAGCTCAGACAAACACCCCCTAAGTAATTCACAAAAATCAGTATGAACTTATTACGATTCTATCCGAAACATAAACAAATAATTAATATTACTTTTGCATATTAAACGTCGGAAGTAAATACATTTTGATCCTAGGCTCAAAAGTTTCCAAAATAAAACTTAGCTGTCTAAGCTCGAAAAGATTAAAAATAGATGGAACCATTCACTGCAAAAGCAAGATGTCAGATGTCGCTAGGCATTGAATTTATCCAAATTAAAATCATTGTAACCAAATATAACATATATCTCAATACGAACCTCTTCTGCGCCCATATCTCTCTACATTATAATATTATATTGAAGCATGAACTAACGAAATAGGGGGTATGTGAGAAGAAAGAAATTAAGAAAAAATTATTCTCACTTCGATGTCAATAAATACACTTCATACTGCAGCATGAAAGTCAAGTCAAGTTATTGAATATAAATAACTTTTTTTGTTGGGATAGAGATGAGAGAGTGACAAATATAGACTTCAGACTCCCCATAGTTATTTGAATTAATAAAATCTAACCTCGGGACTATGTTAAAAGCATCAGGCAGGACAAGAAGGTTACTTAATAGTGAAAAAGCTATAGGTCAACATGTCTTAACCACAAACTTCACTATCTAAACTTTTATAGAGAAATAAAACCTACATTACCATCATGTATTAACCATAAACTTGCTAATTTGGTAATGTAGCTATTTGTGAACGCAAAAATTTAATGCAAAGATGCTCATAAAAATTAATGCAGAGATGCTCATATAGTCATACTCAGACATCACAGGTATGAAGAAAATCCGCAAATCATTTCCAAGCCTAGTAACTTCATTTGATCAACAATTNATTTTACAATTGATTAACAAGGGTCAATTACAATTTGGAGGAAGTCAATTTAATTTGGATTATCCAAAATGTTCACTTTTTTATGATTTATAGCAGTGTTTTAATTAACGCCGAAAAGCATTTGAATTTGCCAAATGTGTTAAATATAAGTTATGAGCAAGTAATCAATTCTGAAAATGAATTAATGCATGCATTAATCAAACCACTTTGTCAGACAAAATTCTGAACTTCTGATTCGCTATCAAAATGTATTTGAACCAAAATATATTATTTTTAGTTATATATGATTCAAACACAATTAATCTTATTAAAAGCATAAAAAAAAATTATTAATTTGTAAGGGTCAAAAGGGCAAACTTAGGTTTTCTTATTTTTAATTGATTTTCAACTGATTATGGCTGTGACTATTCAATCGGTCACACCGTTCGATCTAACGATCTCTACTCTACAAAACTCTTCTTACTATGTCTCCTAGTAACTGCTGAACGCCAGCTAAGAAAATAAAGTGTATTTTGAGTATTAACAAAATATAAACTTTAAGTAATAAAATGGTATTTTTAAACTTTTTGAGTAGAAAATTGTTATTAAGGCAAACCTTGGGTGGGAAAAAATCGTTCACTCTATTAGGAAACTCTCAGACTATATGCTATTACTTAACAAGACATCCAAGCAATAAGACAATTAATTCATTTTCTAAAAAAGGAGGACTTTGTCTTACATGGAGACTTATTAATCAAGGCAACATAATGTAGATAACTATCAGAGAGACCTTATCGGATAGGAACAGCTGAAAATCAAATAAACACTACTATAATGAACTGCCTCTTAATTTAGAAAACAAAGTATTGCTTACATTCTATAACTGATCAACACCTCAAATTGTTACTATATACTTCCACCTTACTAGTTTGATAAATAGCATCACTCAGCAAAAAGGTTTTCATAAATCATCAAAGTTTTCCGCAGCCCCCTTTCTGGATAACGTAGTACCTCGCTGATATTTTAGATTTTGCTTTATAAATAACAAGAAGTTCGTCGAGGTTTTACAAAAAAAAAAAACTAATGAAAATTCAAAATTATTATTTATGCAGGAAATAGCATAAAGCCATAAACTGTAAAATATTACGCATTACATGTGTAATTGTATCATAAATAAACTAAATCCTTATTTAACATATAATAAACAAAACGTGTCAAAACTACAGGGGAGGGGGAGGGACTTGTCAGTTTTGTAAAAGTTAGGCGTCTCAGCGATATTATGCTGGCTCATAGCTTTTACAATTGATTAACAAGGGCAAAACAAAT